ATTCTCTCTCATCATTGATGTTTCTAGCTCTATCTTCCTCTCTGACATCAATAAAAATATATTTTTTTAAAAAAGAGATCCTATTCACTGAACCTGACCTTTTTTCTGTAAGATAGTACTGCTTGTCTCCTGTGGCAGCCGGGAAGGAAAGAGTGTCTGTGGTAGGCATAGTCCTAGTTAGTGTTAGTCACATACCTAGTCTCCTCTTGCTAGTAGAGATCTTAACTTTTTCTAGTGACTAAAAAGCAGGAACATCGTGGAACAGCAGTCCTGTTCAGGAACAGGATACCTGCATCTTCACCTGTGGTGTTATGAGCCCCAGACCAGAGCTTTCCCCATTTGTTGGAAGCAAAGACTCGTAGGAAAAAGCAACAAACACTGCAGAACCATTATCCCAGTGGTGGTGTTTTTATACACATGATGATAAAGCACAGTTTTACTAGCTTATTCATTAATCTATGTTTAAGAGGCTGAAATAATTCTAAGTATTAGGGCAGCATAAATGGCAAAAGAATTTGTCGAGGGCTGTTTTCCAAAGCCTTTCTTGTCATATTCAGGATATAATAAAATTAGTTTTTCTATATTGCTTTAAAAATAAACTTGTAACTTTTGTGAAGAAGAGAAAACGGAAAGTATAAAATCAGGGATGGAAGAATACCAAGAATTTGAATTCAGAAACAGGCCCTAACCCTAAAAGATAGAAAATTTCAGGAAAAAAAAGTCCAAAGGCCTATTTTCTAGTAAAGTTAATCCTTTTATGAAGTAGATTTAATTTTTTGACATTAGCTTTGTAGGTGCTTCCTGAAGCTGGTTGCAGTTTCCCGAGTCCCTCTGATACACAGCAGATAAGATCTGAAAGAAAGCAGTGGCCACTACTGAAAGCAGGTGCCTTCTGGATCCCTACCAAAGCCAGTGCTATCATTGAATGAATAGGCACTAGAAACTCTAGTATTATATTTGAAAAAAAAAAAGTATTGACTTTTAATAACTTAAATATTCTCCTTACAAAAAAATTTTTTTAAAGGAAATTATAATTACTTACTAATAAGATAGATGTGGCAAAAATGACCAAAAGTCAGAATGCTACACAATTAGGACTGGGAATTATTGCATGGGGAAAAAATTGCCTTTTGGGTGTAAAAGCAATTATTTTAACTTGGTGGAATAAAAACATTGTAGGACTGGGTATACTGTATAAATGTATATGTTTATATAGATGGCACTTATTAAATTCTGGTGTATTCCCTGGAGAATATGTTGGAAAAATAAGAACACAGTTTGATCAGGTAGAATCTTTCCCAAGATGCTGTAAGTACATTTAATCAGCAGCTCAGATTTTTCATTCTTCTGGTCATAAGTTGATCCTCTTAGAATAATGATTTTAAAATTAAAGGAAAGAAAGTTCAAAGGGAAAAACAAATATATATGATCTGACACTCATAAAGATGGCAGTGGGAATCTCAATTGGACTTTACAGATAAGTCCATGATGCTTTGCCCAGCTCATGGGAGTGAAAACCTGTGCCCGCCCCTCCAGAATTGGTAGTCTCTCTGTTAATCAGATGGGACTTAATTTCGTATGGTCTCAATAAAGCATTCACATAATACATAGCTGGTTTCCAAATGGCAGGATGGATCACAAAGGGAGTAACAGTGATTCCGGGAAGAACATGGTTAATTGCCTCATCTCAGGGGGTAAAGACTGAGGAGATCTGTGCTTCTCAAAGGCCTGCCTTCTCTGACACCCTCAGGCCAGTTTCCAATGTGCCTGATCTAGCACAGTGCATCCATCTCCCCTGGACCTGCTTGCTCTGCACCGGAGGGTTTAGCTTTAATCACACTGCTCTCACCTCTGGTTGAGATCGCTGTTTATTTTATAAAAAGGATTTCCCTTCCTCTTTCCCTCTTTTCTTACTTCTCCTTTGGACTCAGAGACATCGGGTTCTGAAGGTCCCAAACACACACCCTTCAGTTTCCTAAGAGGCCTAGGCAGCTCTTTCCAAATCAGAATTTGCTTCAGAATCCTCCAGGATGGATGGAAGAAGAACTTGTGAGAACGTATAGGTTTTAGATTGTACTTAATCGGTTGGAATCTTTTCAGTTGCAAAAGGCATAATCGAAGAATAGCCAGAAACTGTTTAGTCATGTGTTTGTTCATTCAACAAATATTTTTGAATGGAAAAGTTACAGTGTGCCTGGCTGTGTACTTGGTGCTGAAGATCCAGCAGTAAATAGAAATGGCTTTTGTCTTTAAAGAACTTACAGCCTGGTGGGAACTAAGGGGGAAAGATGAATGGGCAAAGAAAGGAGTTATGACGCAGAAGGAAAATTTAACTTTTTGTGAGGCTCAAAGGAGGTGGTTGTGGACAGGAGTTTGTTTTAGAAAAATAGAGGTTTTTCTAAGCAGAGACACAAGCCTGTGCAAAGGTATGGAGACAGGAGGGAGCAGCCTGATCTGAACTGCTGTGGTTCCCCGTGTGTATGTGGAGAATGAGAAGACAAGCAGTAACAGTGGCTATTGGTGGTAAAGGAAGAACACAAGAAAATGTCCCCAGAGTTAAATTCATGAAGTACAGACAGAGTTCACTCAGCGCCCTATGAATGACTGAAAAAGACTCAGTCCTAAGTGTATGCTATTTAATTTCAGGGTCCCAAGGATGAATACAATATCCTAAAAGCTTTCAGAAAGGAAAAGCTATATAAAAACGATTAGTAATCAGAGCAGCATCAGACTGCACTATATGCTCATTAGAAACTAGACTATGAAGTAATGCTTCCGAAATTATTTCCTACCTAGAATTACATACCCAACTGGGCTCCCAATCAAGACATTTTGAGACACACTGATTCTCAAAAAAATGACGTAGGGCACTCTATTCAGGTAGCTAACGGGAGCTGTGCACTGTCAAAGCGAGAAAGTGAAGCGAGAAAGAGAAGCCAGGAGAAACAAGGACAGGCATTCACAGAGGGAAATGTGAAGGAAATTCTTAGGGTGATGGGACAGGGAAGGGAAGTCCCAGTTCAAGTCAGGCCTCCAGAGCAACCCTTCCAGCCAGACTGAACCAGGGTGAAGGGAGAAGGAGGAATGTCTCCAAAAAAAGGGTAGAATAAAAAAATTACCTGATGTTTTTCTTCATTGAGAGTACTTTTGCAGTTCTTGGGAGAATTTGATGAGGTTAACAAGTATTAGGTGTGTAAGAAGCTAAGCAAACAACAACAAAGCAACTAGGAGAAACAAAAAGTTATCCAAGAAAGGAAAAGTTACTGAATTCTACATAGCACTCCTGGGAATAATATTTACTTTGTCAGTAAACCCTGGATATTGACTAGACTAAATGTTACCGTGAAGTTGGAAGCTGGAAGGATTAGGCAAGTGTGGCCTATTGTGTGCAAAGAGGTAAAGGGTAGTATATGAGGACTAAAGCCTTATCGTCCACTGACAAAAATTAATATCTAAAATTAAACCAGGAAATTGCAATACAAACACATTTTTTAGAAATAGAGATAAATACCAGAAGAAAATGCTACAGGGGTTGAAATTAGTTCCCTGTGGAGAGAGAACCCAGTGAGGAGAGGGGTGGGCACAGGAGTTCTAATTTTACTATAAGCTTTGTAGTTCTATTTTCATTTTTGTACTTTTATAAAAATAAAAAATGATTAATAAAAATATAGGACTTGCCGAAACCGGTTTGGCTTAGTGGTAGAGCATCGGCCTGCAGACTGGGGTCCCAGGTTCGATTCCGGTCAAGGGCATGTACATTGGTTGCGGGCACATCCCCATAGGGGGTGTGCAGGAGGCAGCTGGTCGATGTTTCTCTCTCATCGATGTTTCTAGCTCTCTATCCCTCTCCCTTCCTCTCTGTAAAAAATCAATATTAATATATATAACTAGCGTCCGTAACACTGAGGGGAGTTTTCATCAGTGTTTTACATTCTGTTGAGCAAACTATTTAACTTGCATATTCCGTGTACCTAGCTTTGCCTCATTTCTTAATTTTACCTACATTTTTTTCCTTTTATCTGATTAACTAAAGATGAATTGAAGCTAAAGTTAGTAAGGTAAATTATTGGCTCAAATATGTGTATGCCCCTGGATGCTATGGCATGTTCTGCCTGCATTTTCACATAGATGCTAAGTTATCTTTTCAAAGTTAGAGATTAAAAAAACAGACTCCCCTTTTACCTTCTCCCCAGTGTAGAGCAGAGCTTGCACTCACATAAGAAATCTTCATTCTTCAGTGACCTGCGTTCCTAAAACGGGATTGCTAGTCAGCTGCACAGAAAGATCTCTGAGCCGCCTGCTTCCATCACTCAGCCAGGCTGCACGTGTTGTTTATAAAGAAATGCTGTCAATTTGAATAGATAAAAACTGCCTCCTCCACCTTTTTATTTTGAAAATAATCAACTCCCACAGAAAAATGACCAGAGTAGTAGAATGCCATGAACTTCCTTCTGGATTTGCTAGTTCTTAACATTTTGCCACGTTTGCTTCATCTCTATACCCATTTTATTTTGAGGGAGGAGAGTTGAATAATTTTAAATTAAGCTGTAGATAGCATACTTTACCATGTCTATCAGCATATCTTCCAAGAACAAGGACATCTTCAAACAAAAACAAAATAATGTTATTTGCCATAGATAATTTAATATTATCTAGTATATAGTATATATTCAGATTTTCTTAAAACCCCAGTGATACTTTCCTAGATTTGTTTTGATCCGATATCCTTATTCTAGAAGTTTCCCTGCTTAAAAAAAAAAAAAAAGAAAGCCTTTCGTGACATTGACAGGAGGAGGCCAGCAGGCCAGTTGTTTTATAGAGTGTCCTGCCCATGTGTTGTCTCTTTGCTCCCCATGAGGTTCTGGTTTACAATGTTGGCAAGCATATGTACACAAACTTTCGTATCCACCTGCTTTGTATGCGCGTTCAGAATCACAGCGTTCTGTTTCCTTGTTTGTGTGTTTTTGTTTTGTGTTTCCTGCTGAGCCGTGGTTTGGCCTGGGGTGCGGAGGGCGAACGCTTACCTGGTGTGCGGAGAAACACCTGAGACTGCAGAAAATATCACTCTAATAATCTCGGGGAGGGGACATCCGTTCCTCTGGAAACAAGCATAATATTTTCGTTCGGCATTCTTGGCAGAGGCCGTTGGATGACTTAATATACTGTAATCAGGGCAAGTTTTCTACTCTTTAATTAAGTTTCTCCTGCAGCACACAGGCCAGGGAGCCACTTTGGAAAACACTTGGCCGGCTTTCCCATCGTCCCTAAGCCGAACGGTGTTTGCCTTTGGACCCTAAACGCTGGCTGCATTCGGCTTGCAGCATGTTGGCTCTCCTCGGGCCGGGATGCCCCGCTGCTTAGGTTATGTGTATTTTGCGTGAAGTGAGCACAACGTGGAGCGATGGCATGCCTCGCATGCCAGGAGAGCTATGCAAGCCCGCTGCGGAAGGCACGCTTCCCGGCCGCCCCGGCTTCCCGATAGGAGACCTGGTGACACAGTAGCCTTTCGGCAGAGCTCCTGGGGATGTGCAGGAAGCGCGGCTACAGGTCTTGTCCGGGGGGAAATCTGAGCCATTTCTCCGTGGACAGCTGTGTGGCAGCGTCAGGGCAAGTTGCTGCTGAGTTTTGCACGGGCTGCCAGGGTACGTGGTTTCCTTCTGATTTGTTTATAGTCCTGGTTTTCCTTCTCCTGAGTCATCAGGGCTCTTTCTGGGAGTTTCACAGGACTTTTAATACGTGACCTGAAGTGGGACTCAGGGGGTTCGTTCCAATGTATAATACTTGTAACCCGACTTTTCTCTTTCTCTCCGCAGAGTGTGTGGAAGTATAATCCTTTGTCATTATGCGATGTCGTCTCTCGGTGCCTCCTTTGTGCAAATTAAGTTTGATGACTTGCAGTTTTTCGAGAACTGCGGCGGAGGAAGCTTTGGGAGTGTTTATCGAGCCAAATGGATATCACAGGACAAGGAGGTGGCTGTGAAGAAGCTGCTCAAAATAGAGAAAGAGGTAAGGTCCTTTCCCGCTCTCAGCAGTGGTCGCCCTGGCGCTTACGTAAGTTTTTCAAGCTCCAGTCAGAGGTCACAGGCTGCCAGAAGCCTCGGAAGGCCTTTGGGGCCGATCCGCGAGGCCGTTCGGGGAGCCCCATAAATAGAAATGGTCGCCGCGTGTGCTTTAGGGCGGATTTCTGCCAGGCTCATCGGAACTGAGAGGGCTTCTTTCCATGGCATGAAATAGACCGAATGTTCTCTGAACTCTCCTGGAGAGGAGGTATGATTTCAGACCTTTCCTTTTTCCACATCAGCCAAGAGGGGTCAGTAAAGAGTAACGTGTCAAGTTTTCAATCCCCCTTCCATTTTCTGTCCCTCCGTGAATTTGTGCTCCAGAGTTGTCTTTTAAGAAACAAAAAGCACTTCCTACTGAAGAATAAGCAATGCCAGTTTTTTTGGATTTCACCTCTGCTTGAGGCAAAAGCAATGGACTTTGTCTCATAAAGAATTAACAGGTGCCCGACAGAGCTGCCCTCCTTATAGAACCAGAAACGGCCAAGACCAGTTTGGCTCAGTGGATAGAGCATCGGCCTGTGGACTGAAAGGTCCCAGGTTCGATTCCGGTCAAGGGCATGTACATTGGTTGCGGGCACATCCCAGGTGGGGGCTGTGCAGGAGGCAGTGGTCAATGATTCTCCCTCATCGATGTTTCTGGCTCTCTGTCCTTCTCCCTTCCTCTCTGTAAAAAAATCAATAAAATATATTTTTTTTAAAAAGAAGAAGAAGAAAAAAAGAACCAGAAATGGCTGTCAGAGTCTGGGATACGTCGTCAAAGTTCATGGGCCTGTCATCTTTCTCAGGAATGAAGTGCTGTGCCACCCAAATTCAGCGCGGTGCCTTGAAGAGTAGGGCCGATGTGGAGCTGACCTGCATTGATAATTTTTAATAGCTACCCTCTGGAGCTTGTGTTGGTCATTTCTATTTTCCTATTTATATTTCTACTAGTCCTGTTTTGGCTAGCTATTGTTCTCTTCAGTATCTTTAAAAGTGAACTTTTCCATAAATATCCTTTAATCTCTCTGAATATTGTTGTGTTTTTCTTCATTAATTGCTGTCAGTGAATTGTAGCAACTGGTGAGGGAAGGAGACCCAGAAGGCAGCGCTGGGTGACTGTGGTCCCCAGCAGCGTTTCCAGTGGCTGGGCCAGGCCAGAGGGCTAAGCTCTGCCGTGGGGTGTCTCCCGCTGTGGAAAGCTTACTGGTAGATGTGAAAGCTTTTAGAGCCAAGTGCACTCGAAGCAGGAGGGTACTATGCAGAGTAAGTTTCCTCCTCTTCGTCTCTTGACCAGCACAGTTTTAAATAGTAGCCAGGTAACAAGACCATTCCTTACTCCGGACTGAACCTAGCTTTTCTCTCTGGTGAACTCTTTATAGGAAGCAGTGTCATGCTCCCTTTTTATCATGGGAAATGGAGCTTTGAGAAACGTGTGAGGCCTCCCCAGGGGAACAAGTGAGACCCAGGAGATCAGATCCCCTGTTTTTGTTGTTGTTCTTTTCAACTCTAAAACCTCTAGCTGACCAGGTTAAGGATAGAAAATAAACCAATTCCATCACATTTTAGTCAAAGAAGTATGGAAGTGTGCTAATATTTTTATATGTTAGGTCATGCAACTTTAGTACAATGAACATATTTATGTGATTGTTGGGTGTGAGACTTCATGAGACATGAAACAGATATTGATAGGAAAATAATAATTCCCTCCACACACACACACACACACCCCCACCTATGCTTAATACCTTTTTTGCTACCTTTGAGAGAGCCAGAGAAATGACACAGGAAAGCACAGGGGGTGTAGCAGGAGCTGGAAACTTCCAGGTCCTACTCTGGTATAAGCTTTTAACCTGCATGGGTGTCATTCGGAAATTGAGTTGGTTACAGTGAACTACAGGAGCATCCTATATAATTAAAGGGTAATATGCAAATTGACTGAACTGAGGAACAACCGGTCACTGTGATGCGCACTGACCACCAGGGGGTAGATGTTCAATGCAGGAGCTGCCCCCTGGTGGTCAGTGCACTCTCACAAGAAGCCGGGCTCATGGCTGGCGAGTGCAGCAGCAGTGGCAGGAGCTTTTCCAGCCTCTGAGGCAGTGCTAAGGATGTCCGACTGACAGCTTAGGCCTGCTCCCCGGGGGAAGCGGATCTAAGCTGTCAATCAGACATCCCCCAAGGGCTTCTGTACTATGAGAGGGCACAGGCCAGCTGAGGGACACCCCTCTGATCCCCCCTCTCCCTGCTCCCAGTGCATGAATTTTGTGCACTGGGCTTCTAACTCATACCTTATAAGTAGAGAACACAAATTCTATTTCAGCTTTGGGGCTTGGTTTAGGCAGTAATTATCAATGATAAAGAGATATGGTACATTATTGCAGAGCATTATTGCATCCCACACCTACTGAATCAACAAGAGTATAAGATACAAAACATATTTGCTTAGGGGATGGAAGTTATTGGGAAGGAAATATGCATTTCTTAAGCAAATATTTGTTATACTTTATGAGGTAGGTATTGGCTTGCTGGCTAGGTGTTTTCTAAGAGGTAAGATAAAGGTAATTTGCTCTGGATTTTATTGTACAGATTCAGTTTCATGTCACTTGGTCATTTTTGCCAATGAGTTTTAGAAGCAGTGGAATATTTAATAATATGTACGTGGCTCACACATTTAATTATTTAATTAAATATATGCCATGCACTTAGTAAAAGATAAATAAAATACAGACCCAACTCTTCAATGTTGCTTATGTGAGAGGATAGAGGGAGACTATTGATTGTCACTTTATTTGTAGACTCTAGTTTAGTGAGTTTGTATTGCTCTCCTCTGCTTTAGTGCATACATCTGGATCGCTGTGATCAGAGATAAGCTCCTGTTAGGAATGTAATTTGGTAAACTTTTTAGAGAAAAGTTTAGCAAAATGTATTTTTTTAAAAATCTTAAAATATTTCCTTTGAGACAAAAATTTTACTTCTGGGACTTTATCCTAGGAAATAGGAAATAATCAGCTATCTGCGGAAAGATAGCTATAGCAGGCTGTTGTTCATCCTACATGTAGAATAGTGAGGAAAGTGCATATGATACACTGCTAACTGGTAAAAGCAAGTTATAAAACATTTTAATGAGATCCCAGCTGTCCACTCGGTGTCTGTTTTTATTTTTCTGATACTTTCTTTTGTTTTCCATATTTTTCTATGATGATCTCATATTCCTCCCCTCCCCCAACATTTTATTATGAAAAATTTCAAAAATAAAGAAAAGTTGAAAAAGTTTCATAGTGAACACCTATGTATCTACCATCCAGGGTCTATTATTAACATCAATATTTGCTTTATCTCATATATACCCAGCTATGTATCCTATATCCATCAATCCGCTTTGATGGCATTTCAAAATAAGTTACAGGCATCAATACATTTCCCCTTAAATTCCTTTAAAGCATGCCTATTATTACCTGAGTTCAGTATGTGTTTGCAGTTCTGTTTTCTTTTTTTTGGGGGGGGGGGATTATATACAATGAAATGCATGTATCACTCAGGTTTGACAAATGTGAGCCCATGTGATCCACATATTTACTTTTATAATCAGAAAAACACAATTTTAGAAAAAATGTAGCTCTGCAATCTATGGCACTTTCTAAGGTTGTTCCAGGAAATCGAGTTTTATAAACCTCGTCACAAATTACTAATTTTTCAGTCTCAGTATGCTCCTTTAAAATGCTTCATCTGTACTTTCCCGTAGCCGTGCCATAGGATCCGCAGTGGTGACTTAGCTCATTCATGTTAGTTACTGGTTTACCTACAGTGCTCTATTTCTTTTTGTTTTTAAAAAGTTTACAACAGGAAACAATGATCTGAAGAATATATACCAAAGGTAAGACAGGAAGCCATTATTGTATCTTTTGGGGAGATTTTAGTTGAGCTGACATCAAACCAAATTGCTGAGGCTGAAATTGAAGCAAGGAGCGGAGAGGGCAAAGAAGGCCCTTGTGGACCAAGGTCCCCTCCCAATGGCTGCAGCCCAGAGAACAGCCCCACAAAGTGTTCATCAGCCTCACAGCGGGGGCTTCAGAACGGGCCCATCAGAACAGCTCATTTTACCCTGGCTGTACATTTGATGACATGTAGAACCAGCCCTGTCTGTACATGGTATTTTTTTTTCCCATCTGAGAGATAGAAACCTGCAAGCATTTGCATTAACTTGGAATTTGATATTCAACTGATAGTAGAAAACCAGATTTAAGTATGAGATGTGAAAGAGACACGATTGCTTTTCATTTTCCCAAAAGAATTGAAAGGAAGTTCAATCCTCAAGAGATAAAATATGAGGCTTTTTCTGCATTTGCCTTGCTTTATGCAAGGCATCACTCCCTTTATTTAAAAAAAACATTTTTTCTTCCATATCTGACTCTTGTGGAAAAGTTGAAAGCCATATAAATTTAAATTTCAAAACTGTCCCACATTGTAAATATTTATACAGAGAGCTCAAAAATGTCAGGACTGATAATAAGAATAGGAGCTACCAGTAACTTTTTATATAAAAGGAGAATATCCATGTGAAATGGAAAACACAATCTTAATATTGACACAAAACTAGGAAAGAATGAGAAATAAAAGCTATTGTTATACAAACTCTATCAACATGACAGCATTTAGTGCTTCATAGAAACCTACTTAATGTTGTTACCTTTGTTAGTTCATAAGAGAGAGACCCTTTTTTCCTCCTCTTTGTAGTTCTGTCGCTGGCTTTTTATTAATAAATTATTTGCACTTGCTTTAGTTGTAGAAGTGCTGTTGTAATGTTTTCTTCTGTCCCTGAAAACAATAAAGAGAATTGCACATTTACCTTCTTTGTCGATCCTCATCTGCCTTGCCTGCCTCACAGGAATGTGCTTGTTCCTTGCTGCTTGATATCATGTCACTGTAGACTCTCCTTTCATTCTCAGTCAGGAAATGAAAATTTCA